GTCCTTTCCAACCTTAGGGATTCTGTGACTCATTTACAGCAGTAGTTTCGTTGCAGCCTTAATAGTCTATGGTTATAAATAAGGGAAAGGTAAGTAATATTCTGTTGAACTCATGAGTAAAGATAGAGATTGGACTATACCTATTGGGCAATAGAAATTCTGGGCCCTGTATCAGAAATACTGGCTTCACATTACTGCATGATTTTCCCTATACACTATTTTTCACTAACGCTATGTAGCTCAACAGATATCAATTACACGTCTTCCTTTTTCTGTCCAAGATGCCTCATGACCGTATTTCCTTTCCTTTTCCCTTGCTAACAATCTCTCTTTGCTTCTTGAAAAGGATTTTTTTTTGTGCTGCCTAACTAATTAGCATAATCAAATTAAACTCAGAGCCCTTGTTTCCAGCCTGTACGTACCTTTAAGGTTGCCGGTTTTATTTCAGGCCTGAAGAAGGATGTGGGTGGCCAAAAGCTTTTTAGTGCTTTCTATCTCGAACAGTTATACTAGCAAAAGGCATCCCTACAGACCTTGTCTCTCTCATTCATTTTTCATAATAATGCCACGAACATTTGTAACTTTTATTTGCCTAGGGCCACAAGAAAATGCTGAAGTGTCACTGCAACCAAAGCTTAGCAGCTGAAGCTTATGGTCCAATATTCCTGTAGCTGTTGGATTTTTTTGTTGCCCTTTCTATAGATAGCACTTCAAAGTAACTCAAATTATGGACATAACTTGTGCAGCAATGAGGTATTCCATGTAAAAAAGGGTTTCAGAACACAAACTTTTTAGAGTACTTTGCAATAAATAGGGTTAAACCTAAAGTTAGGACACAAAGTAAATGCATCTAACTTTATACCCATGCTTCTTGGTAACGTACTTACTTTTACATCTAAAGTATGCTGCAGTCTGAAGCGCATAGCTTCTTGTTCCTGACACTGGATTATGCATTGGCATTCTGCAAATTGCATGGATGCCTGTAAGAGAGGATAGAAGAAGCATAAATTAATTTTGCTAGCTTTCTGTGGCTTATCCTCTTTCCTGTTTTCCTTCCCATAAACAAACAACAAGGTACACATACAGATGCTGTATTTATCTACTGCTATCAGTATAGAAATACTGCAGTATGATCAGATGCCTTTCTTGACGGGCTTACAAAAGCAACTGACTGGTTACATGATCCTAGTAGCCATAATATGCACAACATAGTATCACAGAAGGGAGCTAATCCTGTCAGGGACAGCCCTAGACCTATTGAACACCTCTGGGATTACAAAATTCAACCGTACTAATGAGGCAAAACTATACTCAAGGTTTTAAAATGGACGGCTGATCACTGCGTTGACCCGTCTTTGTCAAGTTGTTACATACTCTTTCTTCTTTCAAGTTTACTCTGAAAAGATGTGAGAAGATCTACTACCGTAGCTATTTTTCATTGCTTGCTTATCAGAGGAATCTCTAAGTCAAAGCACAAAAAGAGACACATATCTTTATGAACCAGACTGCTGTTATCACTAGCAGAGCTCCCTCTTTGGTTTTAAAATAAAACCTGTCTCTCTTTCTTTATGCCTGTGCTTCTTTATGACTGCTGCTGAGGCATGGGCAGGCTCCCTTGAGGCACTGCGGATGTATCATTACAAGCAGCAGCTCTTTGAACATTTAAGTCTGAATCATTAATGACAAGCAAGGTGGCTAATTACACTCTATGATGTTTATACAATGGATGCTCTGCAATGGTATATAATAACATCCTGTCAGATGACACAGTACAGCCTTTACTCATTTCTAAGAATTGCTTCTCAATGTAACATATGTGCTAGTTTTCAGCAAGCACCCGCCTTCCCTGTGCCTCAGCTTCTCTGTCAGTTGGCTAGTACTGTGCACAATGATACATACGACAAAGAAAGTTAGGTTTCCAGTGTCAAGCATTTAAAGTAAGAAATGCTTGGGAGGAGGTATCACAGTTGCTTTAATTTCTTATTTTTTGAAAGTAATAAAGCAATTTGAGAATGACACCTGACATGGAAATTTACATCCAGAAAATCTAGAATTCCGAGTAGCTGAAAAGGACTCTTCCTTCTACAAAAGCAGCAGCTTACCTGTAGGGTACCTGGGATTTATGTGCTAGTCAGACCAAAATGTAGAACCTAGCCTTAAGAGTCAGGTACGTCTGCAATAGAAATCTCTACTAAAAAAGGCAAATGAAACATGATGTTCTTAAAAATTTCCCTCACCCTGAGGGACTCACAGCTGGCTGACTGATGGCTTGGCCTCAGAAAGGGCCAAGCATGGACACGTGTGTTGAGTCAGTGTGCCAACGCTCGGTTCCGGTGAGGCCACTGTTATGTTGAATAATAGTCTCTCTCACCAGAGAAAGGTGCCGTGCCAGGAACCAGTGGAAGGTCAATCCACTGCTTGGAAGGTCAATCTGCTTTAAATTCCTGGCAGTTTGTATCTCCCTAAGTTAGTAAGGAGTAAATCAAGAATTCTCTCAATAAAAATCGAAGCCTTTTACCATTAAAAAACCAGAACACAGGATTAAGTACAGATATCTCTTCAGGTAAGTATCTCACAGTACATGTGAATAGGACATACCAAATACAACCTAGGTAAGCGGTCAGACATTTTCACTTCCCAAGTGACTGTAGAGGAAAGCACACAGAAGACCCACTGAACTGAAAGCTACTTTACGTTACCTTATCAAGGGCTGTCTCCATCTTAGGTATTTTTTCTTTCAGACGTTTGTCTTGCGATCTCAGTATCTCCAGTTCCCCAGCAATCTTGGTATTTTCTGTTCTAATATAGCTCAATTCTTGACTTAGTTTACTATTTTCTTCTCTGAGGTAATGCTTCTGCTGAAGTTAAGATGATGACAACAAAGTACACGTCAAAAATTTATAACTACCTACTTTACACATATTTGTTTTCTGCAAATTTTTTTCCCCTTGAAAGATTTGCATAAGCCCTTTCAAAAGCTTAGCTATTGCATCTTGCAGAAAGATGAGGTTTTGCAACAAGAAGATAGGTCTTACAAAGAAAAGTACAACTGGACTGGTCCTGATGAAATGACATCTCAGATTTTAGATCCATTTTGAAACTGGAATTTTAAGCTTCAGGATCCACAGGATCCAAAGCCGGTAAAGCAGGAGGACAGATTATAGTGAACAGATATAAATGATCGTTCAGTAAACTCCAGCTATTAGTAACTGAATGATTTCTTTGTCACAGAAAATGCTAGAAAGACCCCAGAGTGCTAGACAGACCCCGATGTACAGAGTTTACAACCAGAACTGCAAAGAACTGCCTCAGAAAAAAAAGAGGGGAAGCACCGTGGGCCAAATTCAGAAGGATACAGGATGCATTAGTTGACATTTTTAAAAAGAACTGATACGTAAGAGCCTGATTCTCATTGAAACTAGTACCGTTCTCTCACAGAGAACAAAATATAAATTAAAACTTCTCTCTGTGGAGAAGGCTAATTTACGTGGTGAAGATATTCCCTGATATATGCTAGCAGGAGGACAGGGAAGGTCTTATTACATCAAGTGAAATTCTCTTTGGTCTTTCTTGGGCCAATTGTGCTTTTGGCCATGCTTTTCTCCAAAGAAAAATTTCTCTAAGTACAGTTAAATACTTTTACACGGAGCTCTTATGACCTTAGCTGCATTTGCCATTGCCTCTTCCAAGAATTTAATCTTGCTCTGTAATGCATCTATCTGTCCTCTCTTGGCTGTGATCTGCTTCTGCATTCCCATTGCAACTTTCATAGCTGTAAAAGACAAGGTTAATTCTCAATGAACAACACTGATTACGAGTTCTGAGTTCTGACAAAAGACTCTGAAGTCAGTTATCAGCAATATCTTAGAATAAGTAAGTTGAACCAGGATCCCACAGTTTCTTATGTATGCAAACCACGCATCAAAATAAGCTGGAGTTTTGTCCAAGGTAGTGGCACCAGACCCATCACACACACAAGACAAGACGACAGTATTCTCTGGAAATATGCATAAAGATCACCTGAGAAAACTCAACTCATAGCTTAAGTTTTACAGTATGTAGTAAATGGTAAAATAAAAATACATTGTCATCAACCAATACATTTGGTTCACAAAATACCTGGAATATTATTCTAGCATCTATTGAGAGATCAGTACTTACAAAAATTCTCGTTAAAAAGACAAAACATGATTTTTGGAAGTTAAATCCATAATTACCATTGCCATCAGATCCCTCCATAGTCTTTAGAGCAGTCCTGGTCTGTTCCAGTTCAGCTTGGGCAGTTTTCAACCGCATTCTCAGCCTGTGTGCAGTATTTTCCATCTCCTCAATTTTATCCTGGTAATCCCTCTTCAAATCTTCAAATCCTTCTGGTTAGAGTAAGCAAAGATTGAAATTACAGTGACCAAAAAATATCATTCTTCTAGACTAAGATTACTGATCTGTCACTGTCTCTCCTTAAAGGAGTACCAGATATGCAGATAGCTAAGGCATAAAAGCAAGTAACATCCACCGCTAACAAATGTGCAACTAGTAGTTCATTGTCCTGCATGTCAACAAAAGCTTCTGTTTCACCAGAAACAAATGTGTTCTTTGGTTCCTCGTCAAAGTAAGAGTTCAAGAAAGCAACAAAAATCCCTATTACTTAGTTCCTGCTGCTAGAACCAACTGCATACTGTGAAAGTTAAGGGTTTTGGTGAGGGACAACATTTTTGCCTTGGTCATTCTTCTCTCTAGCCACGCTTATAATCAGACTTAGCTCTGAACTGATCTAATTTGTCAAGCGTTCCCCCACAACTCTGCTTCTCACCTCCGTTTCCTGTACCTCCCTTCAACTCCTCTTCTCAAGGAGTCTACTCTTTTTCTCGTCTATAAGCCAGCCAGCTGTGTGCTCAGACTCTCTTGGCCCCAATTCCTCTGGGGTCATTCACTGCCGTAAGCCTTTCTTAAAGTTTATTCACCCAGACAGTACTATACAAATCTAGGGCAGACCTTCCATGAAAAATCACAGTTATCTGTTTAATTGTTACAAAACTCAATGAGTTCAGAAGTATAGCTGAGTTGTGAAGAAATCAGAGTTACCAATGGTTATGCACAGAGAGCAAAGCATGTGAACGGTATCATGTGGCTGGCTACAGCGTAAATTTAACAGAGGATCTCCCTCAGTTTTAGTGGCTGCCTTGGGTCCAGTCCCTAATTTATTTATTTTTAAATACTGCCTCGATTAGCTTCCCTACA